GGACCTGCTGCCAGGCATACCGCCTCCGCCTGGATGTTCTGCTCCGTGTCCGGGGCAGGCGGCGGTCAATCGATCAGATTCACCGTGCTCTTGCGGCTTGACGACTTTGGATTGTTTTGCCAACTTACATCGCTACTAGGAACGAAGGGCATCGCTACTAGGAGCAAGAAGCTACTAGGGGCTCCTGGCATCGCTACTAGGAACAAATGGCATCGCTACTAGGAGCAAGAAGCTACTAGGAGCAAGGACGCTAACAATTGTTTACACGTTTTTGAGGTCCAACAGCGGTCAAACATGTGCTGCAACCAAAGTCTGCTAAAGAACCTCACAGAAAGGAGGCCGCCTGCAACCTCTTTGATGCAGTTTAACGTGATTCAAGGGCCCATTATGTACGACGCGCGAACCCGAACCCGAACCTGAACCGTTCCCGTTCCCCACACTGAGGCCTAGCATGAATCGGCGTGGTCAGACACCATAGCATAGTGAGAAGCAAGGACGCTACGAACGGGGCTCCTGGCATCGCTACTAGGAGCAAGCACGCTACTAGGAGCAAAGGGCATCGCTACGAACGGAGCAAGCAGCATGTAATCCACCCAGCAACTCTCTGACACAACACCCTTATGGCCTTAGCTTGATACTTTGTGGATGAGAATAGCTGCGAAGAAAGGATAGCTGTTGAAACGTGACCACTTTAATCGTGCAATTCAGGTTGATTTTGTGAAAAATTGGCCGCAGAACGGGCCAATCTTTTCACAGGAGCTCTACAAGAGAACTTGCTTCTCGGTGTGAGGAAACGCACGCATAACGGGCTCCAAGACCTAAGTCGCAATGAGAGAGGCAGAGATGAGTTTTCCTTTTTATAGAGTTTCCTTTTGGGGCTGAGTAGGCCGGGTAGGCCTTCAGGTGGGAGCTAAATAAGTAGGTAAGTCGCTACAAGGGCCCAGGCTTCTTCAAGGAAGCTCCCAGCACCTAAGGGTGCGGGGCTTGAAGAAGCCGGAGCCAAAATGGTTCCTAGATTTGTTTTGGAAACTTAAGGACGTCTCAAGTCACGTAGAAAATTCTTAGGAGCAAGGACGCTACTAGGGGCTCCTGGCCTTACTACTAGGAGCAATCACGCTACTATTTTGTCCTTGAAAATTCTTAAGGACGTCTCAAGTCATGTTGAGACCTAAATTACCTAGCCGCCTTAGGTTTTGAGGCCTTAGCTGCTCAGGTGATGCCCTTGGCAAGGAGCGCGTCGTGGGGGTCTTCGCAGTCCACACTGAGAACGGCGACTTGCCATAGTCGTTCCCACTGAGTCACAAGAGAACATAAAGATCATTAAAGCTCTTGGGTTGGAGGCCATCGCTAGTATTCTGGAGGCCATCTCCCTTAAGCTTTCCGAAAAGCTCTTGAAGATTCTTGAAGCAGAAACCGTTAGCCAATGTCGAAGCTTTGACAGAGAGTGATATAGACATTTCAAACAGTGGGAGAACCCCTATGCTGGTCTCTCGAAACATTTTTCTGTGCCAAGATGTCTGGTTTTCATCGGTGCTGCAGTTTCAGATCATTTCAGTAATTCGAGTTCGAGACTGTTCGAGATATTTGTGGTGGACTACACCATGCCGTTGCATGGCTGGTCGCTCTTTTTGTACTCAAACTTTCATGCAAGTGATCATCACAGGTGGTGAAGGCCTTGTGGCGGAGGCGTGGGTAAAAAGTTCGAAGTTCGTGTGTCGGTTTTATAGGGTTCAGTTGAGATAAATATCGATCAATAAAGGACATTTGCAGCGATTTCTCTTGGTTATTTTGTTTTAATGCAATTCTTTATTTCTTGTGGCACTACGAGGGCCCTCCCTGCACGTAGACGCATTGGCAAGGGCGCTGCAAATACCTTTTCCACCTTTTCCCGGGATGTCAGGGTCGAGGCTGAACTGCATCGTACTGTCGGAAAGGGCGATACGGCAGGGAACATACGCAAAATATCTTCACAAGGAAGTTGAGGTTTCGTGGTCAATACGTCCAGCTGAGGCTTTACGGCCTTGTTTTTGGCATACCGTGCGATCGCAGCTGCCGTACAGAAAGCCCGCGGACACATAGCCCTACTTCAAGAAGGAAACCGAAGCAACGCTAGAATGGAGAACTGCAGGTGCGAGGGCGGAGTCCAAAACACCTCGATCCCCGCCAGTCAAGTACTCTTGCCGACTATAGACCGGGTGAGCAGGGCCTTTCCACACGAAGGCGTGGCCACATGTGGCCATAACTGTGAAGCCGCACGCGGGGCCACTCCTGTAAGTACCACATCAGGCTGGATAGTATGTTTGTGATTGTTTTTTCACTTTTCTTGTTTTTATTGTTAAACTGGATTATTCAATTTTCGACTCACGCTATACATTGTGCTATCGCGCAGTATCCTCAAGACCCAGATTGCACTTGCAGCACCTTCGCAACCAGAATCACATTTGGGAACAACGGCGATGATAGCAGGAACAGCAGCACCAGCACAAATGTTGGCAGCAATGTAAACCACCAATTTAATTTGAAGTCACCATGCGCCTCCAAAAACTACCGACGATAGTTGTTGCTTCATTTGCAATTCTCCCCACAACGGCCGTTTTTATTTGCGCAGATGTTTTTTTGCGCAGATGTTTTTAGTTCTAAACTTGGGTTTGTTTTGTGTTATAAATGTCTGTCGACACCAGTGGTTTCAACAAACAAACATCCCTTGGCGGAGTTGCCATTGTCTTCTTCCTGCTAAACACCGTCTCCGAGATCGATTGTGTCCAATCTCCTGACAGAACACTTTCAGTTTTCCGAGATCGATTGCACTTGGCGATCCCAATTTTTGATCAACTTGATGCAAGTAGGCACTTTTTTTCTCAAGCGTACAGAGCACACTGCCCGCAAGTTGTTTGAAGTTTGTGCACTCATGTTCAAATCGGACTTACTTGGTGAACTTGATTGATTTCTTTTTCAGGACAATCTGCGGTATGATGCCCTTCAGCAATGGCAGACTGTAGTCTGTCTGCATTTCATCGGCATGACAAATGCAAACAGACACAAAACAACATGTGCGCATGAGATACCAAGGATGAGTTTGTAAAGGCATTGAAGTCTCGCATCTCCACTGATTGAGTTTCATGATCGAGCCACCGAAATCGACGCCTCAGAACCCGGAATTCCGATTCCCAAGGCCAATCTCAATGTTGCGATCAGCAGATCGTTGAGACACAAACCCATTTCTGGCACCTCGCTGCTTTTGGGCGAAGAGGACCGTTCTTTTTTTGCCGAAAGGGTCCGGAGACCGCACGGACCGACGGCTGTCGGATGGTTTCCTATTCTTTTGCAACTAGTCGCGATGCACTTGTTACTACTAGCGGCCTCCAACCTAAGAGTCTCATTCGTAGCACAACTAAACCATCAAAAGCAATGGAGGACGACAAGGGCACCTTTAACAAGAAGAAGAAGGTGCGAGGACCTGCGAAGGCCAGATATGCGCAGATATCCGCTTCGATTGCTTGGACTCAACATTCAAAACATGGCTGAAAGCCGTTTCGACTAACAAGAGGGAAAAGAGAAGAAGAAAAGGCAAGACAGACCAGAAAAGGGAAGACACATTCGAAAAAACAAAGCATACTGGCCTTAACCCCACCCCAAGCGCAATGCCAAAGCATTCAGAAAAATAGATATGTTCTTGCGGTAACAATGGAGCAGCTGTGTAAGGCTCTCATTCTTAGGTTGGAGGCCATCGCTCTTAGGTTGGAGGCCATCACTCTTAGGTTGGAGGCCATCGCTCTTAGGTTGGAGGCCATCGCTCTTGGGTTGGAGGCCATCGCTATTAGGTTGGAGGCCATCGCTTCTAGGTTGGAGGCCATTGCTTCTAGGTTGGAGGCTATGACTTCTAGGTTGGAGGCCACCGCTCTTTAGGTTAGAGGCCATCGTTTCTTGGTTGGAGGCCATCGCTAGGAGTTATTTACAGAATCAAACCTGTTGTCCTTGTTCCTAGTAGCGATTCCCTTTGCTCCTAGTAGCTTCTTTGCTCCTAGTAGTACTGCCAGGAGCCCTAGTCCTCTCATTCTCACTTGCGTTTCCGACCGCTTCAGGTTCCAAACCTCGACCAGGGCTTCCGAGTTCTCAAGAGAACAGCAGGTTCTACAGGCCTTCCAGAGTGGATGGGACTTAAAAAGCGCCTCGGCTGCAACCGTGGCCGTCCAGCTGAAGAGCTTGGATTTCAAGTGAACGTGAGGCAGATCCAAGAGTTTGTGAAAGTTTCAACAGCTTTTCTTTTGGTCCAAGTACTCCTTTAAGCGCTCGCTGGAGCACGGCTTTACTTTCAGGCCTATTCGCTACGGCACGGCCAAGTAGAGGAAGAATTCCAGCTAGCCGAAAGCGAAGAAGGAGTGGAGAAACATGGAGAAGGGAGGTGGCTTCTATGTGGCCAGTTGTGGCTGGTTGCTAGTGGCCTTGAGTGTGGCACTTGCCAAAAAGTCGCAGCACAATTCACCAGACCGAGAAGAATCTCCGACGAGACCCTCACATCTTGCGAGATTACTGCGGGACTTGACGATCAGGTCAAGTGAATGACTGTGCTGTGAGGAAAAGATTCTGTAGATTTTGTGCTTTCGTTTTTTTTTCTGCATTGCTGAAGCATTCCTGTTAGCGAGTAGCCCTACTATTTGGCAGAACTCCTTTGGTTAGGGGTGATGGTGTTCCTTGGTTTCATGAAGCTAGTGATTGACTTCACAGTGCTCAAGACTATGAAATAATTAGCAGACGAGTTATATATACTTTTGTTTTGATGCTAGTGATGGACCTGTGTCATTTTTGATTTCTTGTTTCTAATAGCTTCTTGATCCTAGTAGTAAGGCCAGGAGCCCCTAGTAGCGTCCTTGCTCCTAGTAGCGATGCCCTTTGCTCCTAGTAGCGTCCTCCTGGTGGGTGTGTTGACATCTTCGGTTTGTCGGTCTTGGATCTTTAGATTCACAGCATGCTCTGTCCATTTACGCTCGTGCCCCTGGCAGTGCGAGTCGACCATCTATGACGAAGTTGGTCCGGCAATTGAGGCCGGAGACGGTATGAGAAAACCTCATGAAAACAGGGCTTGCATGAGCCTTCCATCTAGTTGTTTTCTCTTAACGTGTTTGTTACAACTTGGACAGGTAGACCAGGCTTTCTGGTATTCAATTGCACATCATCGTCTCATCTTTTTTCTGAATGCTTTGGGTCAGCATTACACACAGTGTTCATACATCCCTCTCATTTTCCCACTTTCTATCAGAGACTGTCACTGCAATTTGTTGCGGTCCATGAGGCAGTCATGAAGAAACAGAACGATACTGAGCCACTTGGGAAAGATGTTTTTCTGCTTGACTGGCGCAGATACTGCGTGCAAACACTTGGATAAAGTCTCCGTAATGCACGGTAAAACATTGTCTTGGTATCCGAGAGGATTCTGAAGCAAAGCTTCGTATGCATGTCATGTCCCCCTAGCCCATCGATCTCAGGAAAGATGTGCGTGCTTTTGCCGAGAAGCTGGCACAATTTGACTTGCAGGTGGTTGAAACGGGACATACAAGCATCTATTCAAGTTCAAACATGGCAGTGTTGGTGGGGGCATCAAAAGTCCTCACAGCGCTCGGGCTACGATTTCCTGACAAGTCAAAAGAGTCATTCCTAGGGTAGCACATGATTGATGAATTGACACCTTTTACGAGACGGACAGGAGAAGAATTTACTGAAGCCAATAATGAGCACTACAACTTTTTCAACGAACTAACTGCCCTTGCTACTAGGAACAAAGGGCATTGCTACTAGGAGCAAGGACGCTACGAACGTAGCTCCTGACATTACTACTAGTAGCTTCTTGCTACGAACGTAGCGCCCCTTGTTACTGCCACTCTCAAGCTTCAGGAGCTTCGAGAGCTCAGTGAGAATGCCTTGCGAATGAGAGATGAGGTGCAAGTCCTACAGTGAAGTCTGCATCCACAGACAGGAGATCGCTCAGAGACTCAAAAGCAAACCTTGGATTATATAGATTCGAGAGCTCAGGAAGAAAGATGTTAGGTTGGTTGGAGGCCATATCGCTAGTGGGTTGGAGGCCATATTGCTTCCAGCTTGGAGGCCTGTCGTATTTCTCAGGTCTTTTTTCCCTCACTCCCATCAGCCTCTGTAAGGACGCTACTAGGAACAAGTGCATCGCTACTAGTAACAAGTGCCTTACTAGTAGTAACAAGAAGCTACTCCCAGTCGATTGTGTCCAAGGGCTCCACACGTAGCCTCTCTGCATGCCGAACACAAGAGCACCAAAGAGACCGCGAGCCGGTGAGGCTCTTGTGCTTTTCATTTCCTGGTGGACAGTGCTTTTCACTTTGGCAGTTCTTTTTGTTTCTTTTTCATTCTTCTAGAACTTTGTTTGCCTTCATTACAGTACATGTGCCTCTGAGTCTGGGGCATTTGCTTCCTTTCGGTTCCCAATGCTTGTCTGCCAGCCTGGGAATGCCCGGATGGCTTTTGTTGTTTTCTTTTTCATTTGCTTCGCTGGTCTTTACCCATTTCGGCTGCTTCGGCTTCATTTCATGTTCTTTCGTAGATGGTGGGTGCTTGATCTGGAAAGAAAACTAAGCGAGACAGGTGCTTATCTTGGCCAGACCGAGTGACAGCCTGTTGCTGTGACGGCCAACGCAGTTGAGTCATTGCAAACGGCAGTTCAGTGTTCTTGTTCTCACCGAATGGACGGCGATTGAACTGGGCTGGAGTAAGGCCGTGTCCAAAGTTTGCTTGGGCCACTGCTAAGCTAGAAGCATATCAGAGATGTTCAGCAGTGTTTCAGCTTCTCAGGGGCAGTGCCCTCACCCAAGAAACAATTTGGATTTGAGTTGCGGCGCTGAGCTTCACGTCTGACACTTTTTAGGTGCAAAATTGCGTGAATCGCTTGAACGTGCTCGACACACAATGGATGCATGACAAGGCCCCTTCGAAGCTCGGTGTGTGACAGTTCCGTTGATGGACTCGAGCTTCGTCCGTTGGGCAGGAAGAGCTCCGGTCGATTGTGGATGGGAGCAGCCAGGATTAGACTTAAATTAATTTTAAATTAATAGCTTCTTCTTACTACTAGTAAGGCACTTGTTACTACTAGCGTGGCACTTGTTACTACTAGCTTCTTGTTACTACTAGCTTCTTGTTACTACTAGTAAGGCACCTGTTACTACTAGCGTGGC